TTCTGGTAAATTCTGGAAAGCACATCATTCGGTGCAGTTTTTACTGATCATTACCGTGTAACCTGTTTTATTGAAAAATGACTTTCTATCAAGAAAAGAATGATTTTCCGTAGCGTATGCTGCGTTTGTTTCAAAAATTTCGTCATATTCTGGCCCATCGAGAACCTCAAAAATAGGCTCATCTTGTGAGGAATCGCGAGCTCTACAAAACAGGCTGTAGAAATCTCTCGGCACTTTTGAAACGGCTCTGAAAGCTGGGAAAAACTTGAAAAATTTACTTTTCAAAAAGTTTGAATGTCGATTTTTCATACACAAACCAAAAATATTTTTGACTACCAAATACGTCACTCGATGCAGTTTAGATGCTCTTTCAAATGAGATGCTACACAAAAATATCGAACAAGAACTGAGAAAATGGTAAAATAGATGTGAAAGATTGGGCTAAAGATAAAAGTGGTGATGTGAAAAAAGGTAATTTTTCCTAACTGAATAAAACAAAAAATGGTAAACTGCAGATAGGAAATGGTAAAATATTGCAGTACTCATGCATTCACGCTTAAGAAATTTCAACGTGCAGAAAAATAAATCAACGTTTACTATAATTAATTTTACTCGGATTAGTTAATGTTTCTTCACAGAACGTGCTCGAGTAATCTATATTAGATAATAACACGGCTTTTTCTTTGTCTTCATTGTTCAATTAACCGTAACGGATAAAGAGACAGCGCGTTAAGGTTTTTATTATGATAATATGCTGTGACATTCTATTCATATCTGTTAAAGTATCGTACGATGTTAGTGTTTATTCTACTATCCCTAATTATAGTTATTACAAATTCTTTGAATCAAAATTCATTAAGTGTGAATCAAATTGAAGAAATTTTATTAAACACTAGTGAATACGGGTTAAACAATCGATTTATTAAACAACTACCCACTGCTCAAACGTATACTAATGATCATTTGAGATCAAAAGATCCAAACAAAATTAATTTAACCGATCAATTAATATCAATTAATGGACAATGGACCCCTGAACAATTGAAATTAGACTCAATAAGTCCATTCTATTTTTCCAGTCAAACACCGAATAACTTATTAGTTTATTTAGATGCTGTTGAGACTAATTCGACGTTGACTGATGTACCATTTATCACAAATATGCCACAGTCTTATCTAAAAAATATACCACTTCTCCAGATATTTAATTGTAAAGAATTTCTATCGAAAAATTATTTTCAAAGTATTGATCTGATTGTTGGTGCAGGACAAGCACAATTACATTTGGGAATGGATCATCTTCATCAAAGTGAATTATATTGTTCATTACATGGTCGACCTCGTTTCATAATGATGAATTTAACTGAGGATGCAGATGAAAACAACGCAGAAACGCTATTTAACTTCGACACATCAGACGTTAACTTTGGACAGACAATATTAGATCCGGGAACGTGTGTATTTATACCATCAAACTGGATTAAAGGAGTACAACTGAATAATAGCATTTCATTTGTAATTAGATTCATTGAGATACCGTCTGTCAATGAAGATTTTACAGACTGTACAACAGAAGAGAATTTGACATTAAATGATGTTAATTTTATGGTGAAAGATCAATTAAATATCACAGAACTTGTCTTATTAATACACTTTTATCAATATGTGAACAAGCCATCATTGATTAATCGTTATTCATCATCTGAATTTTTAGAATATGCACGTACAGATAAGAATTTTACTGGTC